TAGAGACACGAGGTGGGCTGGGAAGCCACTCTGTTGCAGAATTAACAGCCCTAGCTGAGCATCTTGAAAAAATCTTAGAGCAAGATATGACTCAAAAAGCCGATAAATCTATGGTCCTGCAGTTATAACAGCCCCAAGGGCTGAGAGAACCTCCACGTAGGAATACCATGCCCCAAAATGTCTGCTTTCACTGTACACTATCGGAGAACTAGAAAAAGGAAGGATCCTTCCTGAACCTACTGTTTAAGAGACCTCCACCTATTAATCCAGACTGGTTTTCCATCAGGGGAAGTCTTCAAAAATCTGAATACCAAAATAATAAGCATTGATAGGGCTCTGAGAAACCCTCTAGTAAATTGCTTCCCATGATACCTCTAAATGCTCAAGGGGAAATTAAGACAAAGATTAGTGGAGAATCCTGTACAGTCTGTGGATATCAGAGCCACTTTATCTACATTAAACCCCACTTTCATAAAACAGTGAATCCCTTGAGGTAAAGAGAGTATTTCCATAGTGAGTATTTCTAACCAAATTTAAAGGGTACCTATGTCTAAACTAGTCTAGATGACACCAGGGCCATTTTCCTTCTGTGTGACACTGCCCCAGTAAATCTGTTAGGATGAGATTTGCTTTCTAAATTGAGGGGTCATACAAAATTTAACTCAGAAGGAGAAATGATCTTGGAATTTCCTGATCCGCCTGAACCTGAGCTGCTCTGCTTTTTGCAAGCAGGAATTGAAGTTGAGGCTAAAGTATCAAAGCCTCTATTTCTCAGAAGTGCCTGATACCTACAGGCTCCTTCTTCAACTGACATAACATTATGAGTGTTGAACCCATAAAAATCCAAATAGATCATCCCAAACCCCTGCCTAAATTGCCTCAATATCCACTAAAACCAGGAGTTAACCTAGGGCTCTCGCTAACTGTAGAAGACTTAATTAAGCAAGGACTTATAATTCCATGCACTACTTCTTATACCACTCTGATCTTACCCATCAAAAAACCAAATGGATAAGGCTGGAGATTTGTCCAATTGGATGCAATTGGGATCTGGATGCAATTAAATTGTGATGCCAAGGTTCCCTGTAATTCCAAATTCCAATACTTTGTTATTTTATGAACCTATGGACTCAGAATGGTTCACGGTGGTAAATCTTTGCTCTGCTTTCTTTCATATCACAGTTGATGTGGAGAATCAATATTTATTTGCCTTCACTTGGAAAAATTAGTAATATACCTGGACTGTAATGCCTCAAGGGTTCACTGACGCCCCATCCTCTTTTTCAGTGGTTTTACAAGACCTGGCAAACTTACAGTTCCCTACTCTACATTCATTCAGTATATAGATGACTTATTGCTATGTTCCCCTACCAGAGAAGACTCAGATTTATCTATTATAGCAATTAGCTTGTAAAGACCATAAAGACTCTAAAAGAAAACTCCAATTCTTAAAAGAGAAAGTCCATGACAGGATTTGACTGCAGAAGGCATTTCCCTCTCACCTGAAAGAATAAAGACCATCCAAAACTTCCCCAGACCTACAACTAAACGACAATTAAGGAGTTTCCTTGGATTTGTAGGATATTGCAGGTCTTGGGCTCCAAATTTTCCTCTCATCACCTCTACCCTGTATAAGCTTACAAAGAACTCAATTTTGGAGCAAGATTTGATCCAACTAAAATTTGTTCTGCAACATGGGTAGGAAGAATCAAAATCATTAAAATGGCCATACTACCCAAAGCGATGTATAGATTCAATGCAATCTCTATCAAAATACCAATGGCATTTTTCAGAGAGCTACAGCAAACAATTGTAAAATTTATATGAAACCAGAAAACATCCTAAATAGCCATGGTTATCTTGAGAAAGAAGAACAAAGTTAGAGGTATCACATTACCTGATATCAAACTGAACTATAAGGCTACAGTAATCAAAACAGCATGGTACTGGCAAAAAAAACAGTACCATGGATCAATGGAACAGAATAGAGAGCTCGGAAATAAATCCACACCTATACGCTCATTTAACAAATGACAAAGGGGGTAAGAATATACAATGGAGTAAAGACAGTCTCTTCAATAAATGGTGCTGGGAAAATTGGGCAGATACATAAAAAAAAAAAAAAAAAAAAAAAAAAACAAGACTGAACCACCTTCTTATACTACATACAAGAATAGACTCAAAATGGATTAAAGAAATATAAGACCTGAAGCCATAAAAATTCTAGAAGAAAACATAGGCGGTAATCTCTCTAATACTGCTATTAGAAATTTCTTTTTGGATATATCTCCTTGGGCAAGGGAAACAAAAGAAAAAATAAACAAATGGGATACATCGAACTAAAAAGTTTTTTTCACAGAAAGGAAACCATCAACAAAACGAAAAGAGAACCTACTGAATGAGAGAAGATATTCGCTTATAATACATATCTAAGAGGTTAATATCCAAAATATATAAAGAATTCATACGACTCAGCAACAAAAAAGCAAACAATCCAAATAAAAAATGGGTAGAAGACCTGAATAGATATTGCTCCAAAGAGGAAATACGAAAAGATGCTCAAGGTCGCTAATCATCAGAGAAATGCAACTAAAAACTACAATGAGATATCATCTCACACCTGTCAGAATGGCTATCATCAATAAATCAAAGAACAATAAGTTTCATAAACTATATAAATTTCTAACCAATGTACTGTATACTTAAAACTAATAATAAAATAAAGTGCTAAAAAATAAAAATAGAATCCCTTATGCTATATATTAATAAAATTCTTTTTACTTAAAAAAAAAAAAAATTAGCCCTGCAACAAACTCCAGCCATAGGGCTCCCAAATTATACTAGACCTTTCACCTTATTTGTCCACGAGCGTGATAACCAGGCTCTAGGAGTTCTAACATAAGAGCACGGAGGAAAACACAGATGTTACTTACTGTAGCTCACAATCAGACCCAGTAGCCAGAGCACATCCAAACCATTTGAAAGCAGTAGCTGCAGCAGGTGACTTGGTAGAAGCCTCAGCTGAATTGCTATTAGAATATGACTTGCACTTATAAGTACCTCATGTTGTTGAGAGTCTATTAAACTCTGATCAGACTCTACATTTTTCAGCAAGTAAACTAACACCTTATGAGATCCTTCTTTCACCTGTAACCTGTCTTAAGCGCTGTAACTTGCTCAACCCTGCTGCTACCCTACTTTGTCTGATGATGGTAGAGACTGCCATAAATGTGTAGATATGACATCACAGTTATTGACCCCTTGCACTGACTTACAGGACACGCCATTAGAAAACCCAGATTTGATAAGCTTCACTGATGGGTCCCATGCTAAGAGTGCAGAAGAGAAATATCAAGGAGGATATGTTTGCTGTAACAATTCAATATGAACTATTAGAAGAGGGAATGCTTCCCCAGTTTGTCTGCTCAACCAGAGAACTACACGGCCTCACTCACGCTTGTCAGCTATCCAGAGGAAAATTGGTAAACATTTATACCAATAGCAGATATGCCTTTGGGGTGGTCCATGACTTTGGTATGTTATAGAGACAGAGTACAGAGTAGACTGGAAACTCAATCAAAAATGGACTCCGAGTAAATGCTGCTCTCTGCCCATTCTGTTGCCTAATGGAATTGCAGTTATTAAAATTGAAGTTCATACAAGAAAAACAGAACCTGAGTATCCAGGAAATGTTCTAGAAGACTTTCATGCTGAATCAGCCAGCACTCAGATATGCAACTTGAATGAATTCCATAATATTGATGCTAGCCAAATTATTTATAATTTATATGAAAGACAAAATCAGGCACCTGAGGTGGAACAACAATGTTGGGACCAACAAGGGTGCAAATTTAATATTAAACTAGGACTCACTGAGGGCCTGATGGCCTCCTGGTTCTTCCTGAGTCCTTAAAAATGCCATTACTAAAAGCTCTACATTCTGTAATTCATCATGGTACAGATAAAAATGACCCAAATTATGAAGATAGATTGGTGGGGTGACTGTTCCAAGCTTGCAAAATTGGTTTATGACCAATGTCTGATTTTGTCAAACCCACAACCCTGGAAAGACCATTAATACTTTAGATGGGGCCTTCCCACCACCTACTAGGCCATCTGAACACTTACAAATGGATTTCTTTCAATTGCCTCCACAATGGGTTATCAATATGCTCTTGATATTGTTTATATGTTCTCAGGATGGACTGAAGCTCTCCTATGCAGAAAGGCTGATGCTTAAATCATGGCTAAGAAACTTTTAGAAAATGTATTTTCTTTATGGGGTAGCCCCAGAGAAATCTCAGTGAGAGCGGAACTTGTTTTGCCAGACAAATAATTAAACAATTAAGGCACTGCTGACACAATGGCATTACCACTGTCCTTATTGTCCTTAGTCATCTGGTAAAGTTGATCAAACAAATGGCAACTTAAAACTAAAACTAGCTAGATTAATGGAATCAACTGGACTGACCTGGCTGAAAGTTCTACCATTAATTTTTATGGCAATTAGATCAACACCTATGGAAAGCATAAATTACCACCTTACGAAATAGTAACAGGAAGACCTATGCCTTTGACGATAGAACCAGACATGTCTCCTGTACCCATAAATTCTGGTATGAGTCAATATTGTAAAGTTTTAATGCATTATGTAAAAATGTCTTTCCATCAGGTAAATGAAGCTTTCTCTGATCCTCCTACAGAAGGCTGAACCTTCCTCAATTTAGAACCTGGAGCGCGGGTCTTCTGGAAACCACATCTAAGAAAGACTGCCCTTGAATCTTGTTGGAAGGAACAATACCAGGTGCTCCTTCCTGCCCAGGTGGCAGCCACACTTGAGGGACTTGAGTCCACGGCTCCCAGTTGAAAAGGGTTCCTCCAGACTCTTGAACTGCATACCAGCCAAAGATTTCAAGTGAGAATCAACCCAGGAGGTTCCTCCCCAGAAGCAGAAGATATCTTGGACAGCTCTTCTAAGATCACAGATCAAGATCTTCATCTCCAATATGAACCCTTTATTCCTTTTTCCTACTTGCTGTCTGCTTTTTCTCTCTATTAATGTATGGGAAGGCAACATCATAATTAGGATTTCACAAACAAGTTACTGTAGGAAACTTAACTGCTGGATTTGTTATGCTAAACCAAAAATGAAGAGAAACCACTTATTCACCCTATAAGTGATTTCACTGGAATCCTGAATGCCATGTATGCCTCAATTGTTTCACAGGTCCCTTTTAAATGTTAAAATACTAAATTCACATATACCTGGTTCCTTGCCTCAGTTTAATCCAACCCTGGGATGGGAAAACAAGATCCACTGAATACGTATGCAAAAAACACTGTTAATACATGTATAAAAGAGCGGCCAGTGCATCAACCATTTGTAGGCTTGCTGTCAGGCCCATATATTTAGATGGTCTTTCAATATGTGATAATACAGTATTTGAGTCTTCACTGAATGATACTAACAGTGACCAGTGGGTCCATAAATGCTAATTCTTACAAAGGAGCCCTGTGTACACCTCCTGGCTGCACCTTTGTATGTGGAAGTTTTGGCAACAGCCTCTATAACTCATTGTCTTGACAGCTGGAGGCTGAAGGGACAATGTGCTCTTGTTGCATTTACTCATTGTCCCTTCATAATGCTTCAGAAACTCAACATTGGTCCACTCCCTTGAATTTATACTAGTGACCAAAAAGAAGTTTACCAGCAGATGCTAACCCCTCTGGATGGGCATCATTTGGACGGTCTCTTCTTCCTTGGCTTGGAGTTTGTACAAACGAATATGTGATCAGAAACTTATCCCTAACTCTGATAACCATTGCTGAGCCTACTGCTAAAGCCACAGCTGTACAACAAAAGTCCCTAGGCTTTCTTGCTAAGCTGGTTTTAGATAACAGAATTGCTTTAGATTACTTGTTGGCTGAACGAGGAGGAGTCTACCTGGATCAACACCTTTGGTACTGTGGATGCTCAAATATAAGAAATTAACAAACAAGCTACCTGGCTAAAACAGGTTGATACCTCATCAGACACATTCTCTGATTTCTTTGATACCACTGGTTTGGTTCATGGGGACCCTGGCTAAGGAGAATACTTCCATCTCTTGGTATTATTCTAATAGTCGTCATTAAGTCTTAAATGCATCTACAGCTGTTGATTTTGTGCATTGTTTGGGGAAACAGGTGACACACTTATGGAGGGAGAAGATAAGCAGAGTGCCATTATTTTGATTTATTACAGTCTGAAGAATCATGGGTGAGGGCCTGAGAACAAGTCCGCTTTATCAGCAGTTCTAAAGCATTATTAACCTGAGATTTGTATTCTGGAAAAAAAGTCGAGACTGAATTATCAGTATGTACATCGTGAGATTTGGGTTTTGGCCCTGATAGAAGAAACTGTACTAACCTGAAAAAGGCTATGTGAGATTAAAGACAGAAACCAGCTAAATACCAAATCCCGGTGAAAGATGTGGATTTAACTAGAGCCACATACTTTAGCAGGACACCTCCCTTTGGGGTAGTTAGGAATGCAGGAGACACTTGACACGAGTGCAGGCTGCTCAAGGCAGCTTCCTCCCCAGGGCATTGGCAGCCGGCTTCAGCATTCCCAGAAAGAACCAGTCCTGCGGTTGCATTTCTCTTTTCCTCTGCTCCCTTTCACTTCTCATCATCCCGTTCATAGTTGATCGTTTGTAAGGCCTGAGCTATGAGCATCGCCATTTCTCGGGTGCCAGCAGCAACCACTCTGCAAGACATGAGGTCGAAAGGTCCACCTGAGGACAGAGAGGGAGGAAAGGCACCTGGGTTACTGGAGAGGCCAAAGCAGTCCCGGATAACTCAGCATGCGCATATTCCAAGGAACACAGCTCTAGAGCCATACTTGAGGCCAGACCAAACAGTGTGGTCTAGATGTGAGCCTGGTCAGAGAGAGGAGGGACTTTTCAGCATCCCCTCTGCCCAATATGAGTGCACTGGAGGTGCCACAGACCAACACCGCCCTGGAAGCTGTGCTGGGAGAATGTACTATGAGGTCCAACATTCAGCACTAAAGATTGAAATGACTGGTTAGACCAGGACAGGGGAGATCAGTTCTCAATCTCTCCTCTGCATGGGTGGCACTGGAGACCCCACGAGTCAGTCTTTCTGACTGGCAGCCTGATGCAGCTTCTCTGGAGACCTGGCAGCTGGAGTGGACGATGAAGCCGTGTGTCCTTCTGGGGGGCAAGGACAGGACTAATGGCCTTGCTGAAGCCCTCCGTGCACACATGCATGCTTGCATGGTTAAATCCAGTGACAGACTCGTTTTCAATCTGAAACTGGCCTGCCCGGCCTTGCTACTACCTAAGGCTGATACCTCTTCACTTTGAATTTCCAGTGGCTCAATTAAGGCCTTTCAGAGGAAAAAGGAAAAAAGTAGAAATCAAATGACAAAAGACTCTTGTATATACCCTGTATTTAAAAGGGAGCTCCAGTGTTTCTGCTAACAAGCTTGGAACTAAAAAGCTACAAGAGAATGACTCAGAAAGGACTCACTCAGCCTCTGAATGGTTGTTTCTAAACATTAGATGAGCAGTCTTCCTGCAGCTAAGTGGGCGTAACAGGGGCAGAGATGCTAAGGGGTTCTCCCCATAGGGTCGGTCACTGGGACTTGAGAACTTTGAAGCAGAAGGAACAGGTCATCTTTCGGATCCATTCTAAAACCTTTAAGGGGCACCCGCGCTGTACACTGTGCCGACCCAACACTGAGCTACAGGGCCATGGGGCACCAGCCTCCTCTTCACTGGCTGTGGAACACCATGTTTACTCTGCCAGTCTCATGGGGTTGTGGGGCTGGGATGTGTGTGCTCAGAAAACTGTCAGGTGTGATAGACAGTGGCTGTGCTGTCCCTGTCCAGCCACTTACCCTGACCCTGGGGTCTATTTTCATGCCTAGAGGCATAGAGAAGGCAGGCAGGAAGGGTGGGAAACTGTTGGCCCACTGCTTTTCCCATGCCTTCGCCTGGTCTCTTGTAAGTAGCAACTCGGAGGAAGTGGGGGAACATTCAGTCTGGAGGTGTTACTCTAGTCACTACTGTCATAGCCCTGGGAACCAAGGGCGGGCCAAGGGTCAGAGGGGCTCACCTGAGGTATCCATCACAATGCCACCTGCTTCTCTGATGATGACAGTGGCGGCAGCCAGGTCCCAGCAGTGCAGGCCAAACTGGTAATAGGCGTCTGCAGCCCCCGAGGCCAAGTGGCAGAGTGCCAAGGTGGAGCTCCCAATTACTCGGACCCTGGAGGACAAGGAAGAGAACCATGCACGTGTGAGTGGCACTGTGCACAAGTTGGATTGCTCTTAGCGTGCACGCTGACTTCGTCCAAAGTTGCCCCTTCTGCTGGTCATTCCCAATCATTAAAAGTGAGCCACAGGGCTTCTACCAACAAGCTGTAGATTCAAAATCTGGAGTCCAGAACAGCACTGTCCAATAGAACTTTCTGCAATAATGGAAACACTCTGCACTGTGGAAGCTACTAACCACCTGTGGCTGCTGGGCACTTGAAATGTGGCTAGCACAACTAAAGAAGTCATTTTTTTAAACACTATTGAACTTTAACTTAAATTTAAATCACCTCATGTGGCTAGTAGCTATAGCACAGACCTAGAGGGAAGATGGGAGATGGAAAGGATTCTCACTCGGACATGGATTTATCTTCCTAAATGTTTACTGGAGTAAGGTCATTTAGGGAGGGCTCTAAGCACGAACAGCATTCGCTGTTTGAGTGGCGTGAGATCATTTCCTTGGCTTCTCAAAACTGCTCAGAAAGGAACAAAGCTCCCCTGTCTGATTTCTAACAGACTGGCTGCATGAGCTCCCATACTGGACGATGTGGCACCACGTGGCTTCCCTGGGCCTCAGCACGGGCTGCATGTGCTCTTGCTCTTATCACGGGGACCTTTTCCTCTTTCAGTCCTTGGGGAGTTTCTAGCAAGATTGTGTTTGGCACTTTCCCCCTTGGCTCCAGGGTGTTCCAGGAACTGAAGTGTCATACCCGTGAGCTTTGGCGTGGAGTAACCTCTCCATGTTGCTCAGGAACAATTTCAGAGTAGCAGGGTCACGTTTGGGACCGATTTCTGTCAGAACCAAGG